TATATTATACAATTAACTGATTAAAATCTCACAATCAATTTAGAGTAGCCACAAATGCAAAGTAATTATCATACAATAAAAATGTTCATCCAGCTATAAGAGTCAACCAGCTATAAAGTTAATGTTTGAAAATGTGTAAGAACTCTATAGCTAGTTTCTATCCAGCTTTAATTTGTAGAGCCCTGTGATCTACCAACACCTCTTCTCTGTGGCGGGCCAGTAGGGGGCGCTCCTGCTTTGAGCCACCCACCTCACGGCGCCCGACCACCTTCCAGGCTCCGAGTGCCTCCCTGGGAGCGCCTCACGTCTGGCCAACCCCCTTCCTGCAGCACACCCGCTAGTCTGGGGGTTCCACTGCCACCACCCAGGGCTCTGGACTGATTCTGCCTCTGCGCACCCTGGGAAACACAGGCCTAGTAGCTCTCAAGGGTACTTGATTCAATTCAAGAATTTGGGATGCTTCCCTCAGTCAGAAGCACAAGCAGTGGTCTTCCTTAGTCAGCCGAACCAAGGGGACCCCAAGGCATAATCTAGACCCACTCCCAATAAGTCTCCCACACTAGGTACAAAGGAGAACTTTATTGGTTACAGAGGGTAGGGTTGGAATAGGGTACAGGGTAGAGCAATACCAGAGCAATCCCATAGAGCAAACTGGCATGGCTGGGTAGCCTTTGATCTCACATCTGAGTTACTGCAAGCTAAATATCTAGTTAGATCTCCAGTCGCTTAGTCACAAGTATCATCCAGAGGCAGCTGGAGATTCCCTCTGGAGGCAGGCAGTTCCTTGATCATGAGTTTGGAGAGAGCGAACAAGTTTCCGATGGTTCAGCTCTACTCTGTCTCTGAGTCTTCCTCATGGCTGCTGCCCCCTCCTCCTGGGCAGTCCTTAACTTATATAGCCCTTATGACCTCATTTACCTGGTTCAATGGAGGCCAGCACCTGTTGGCTGTCAGCCAACCAATTTGAAATACATCACTAGTTGCCAGGCAGACTGGCAATCTCTAGCCCACCCGGGAGGAAGCCCCTCACCTAGGTATGTGATACTAGTCACGTAGGCAGAGGGAGCAGGTTTCCCCGCTCCCGCAGGAATGTATCCAGCTCAGGTTACCTAAAGAGATAGGGTGAAGGTGTGTCTCCTCTGCTGGGCCCATCCTAACCAAATTGTCACAGAGCAGAGTTTTTGGGGAGAAACAAAGGTGGCCTTCTGCCACATTCTCATCACTGCTACCACCTACCCTGTTATCTCCAATCTGTATTTTGCTTTTGATTATTCTTACATGTAGCGCCTTGCCTCCTTCAGAGGCAATCTGCCAGAGCAGATTCCATGCATGTGCTATGTGGGCCACTGTGGTCCCCTTGATTTATCTGTGCTTTTATCTGTCCTTTATCTGTGCCTATCCAAAGCATGCTATACAAGTCCATTCTCTAACCTCTTAGCAAAACTACACAGTCAACCCTGACACAACAGAAGACATAACCCCCATCCCAGCACTGCCATCACCCACCCCAAGCTTGGTGCGGCCTAGCCCCTGCCCTGCTGGGAAGAGCCTGGCACAGCCCCTGTCCCCAGCCCACAGCTGCAGCCTGCCTTGCCCTGCTCCATGCAGATCCAAGGGCACTCACACCCCTTCCCCATGTCTTCCCAGAGTGCACCAAGTGGTGGGAGCCACTCCCTCTCCCCCCCCCCCCCCCCCGGATGAGCCGTGGGTCCATCCTATGCCCCGCTCCACCCCAGCTATATTATGAGGTACTAAATAAATATGCATTTTGGCTGCCCTTAAGTGCAGTAGCAAAAGTTCATGCTTAATGTGCAGTAGCCTATTTTTACTGTGCATTTGCATATTAAGATGGTTTTTGATGCAATGCTCTAGTGCACAGTAAAATAAGCTACTGCACATTAAAGCACATGTGTAGATATGCCTTCTGTCCCTAAGTCATGCCTTGTAACTGTCCCACCTGCTGTGGAAAGTGGGTGCTCACTAAGTGTGGCCTTCCACTCCTAGTGTTCTGTCTCTAGGGGAGCAAAGCGGATCCCCTGAGGACCCTCCTGCATCTCAGGGTCCCCCTGGAAGGATCCAGTGACTCCCCAAAAAGGTCATATTGAAGGGGGGGGGGGGGGGGCCCCCACACACCCGCGCCGGGGCCGTGGGAGGGGAGGGGGGGGGGGGTCTCACTCACAACCTGGCCTAGGGCCCTGTGGTTAGTGCTTAACAGAGACATGGCACGGTGATCTGCCTGCCCAAGGCTGGCCCAATGTCAGCTTTGCCAGCAGAACACAGCAGAGAGGTGGAGCTTCCTGTCTCCCCTCTGCAGCCCTCCTCCAGAACAAGATACAATTCTTCCCAACATCCGCTGCATCTATCCATCAACATGTGCAGAGCCTGTGTGGGTCAGTGTCAGGGAACCTGGGGCTGCCCGTAGCACAGGACTGGAGGACAAGGTGGGACCCTGTTCATGACTGGGGGCACAGGCCAAGGAACTGGGGGGTCTAAGCCTTGTATTGGGCCTTGCCTAGTCCTGGGCACACACAAGCTTTGTGCTGATCCCTGCCTGGGAGGGAAGTATTGGGTTGAGCTAGAGGTAGAGCTGAAGGGCTGGATCCTTTCTGGAAAATATGATGTCAGGAAAGTCAGGCTTCTGGGCTTCCCAAGGGGTAACTGAGTGGAGCAGAGGCCTGAGATACACAGGGGTTATGAGGGTCTAATGGGCCCTGGTGGCCTTAGACATCCCTGAATCTATGACCTAGTTTGGGTGGTCAGGGGAAGCAGACTCTGCTGTTGTGCTGTGGAGCTGCATGATCCCCAGAACCAGGTGGGTGAACCAGGGCAGACAAGGGCAGAGTCTGGGGCAGCCCAAACATCCCAAGGTCTTTCTGGGGCAGGACATGGGCTTGGAGGGTAGGGATGGGGGTGGCAGTGACAGCACAGAAGCCGGTGGGAGGACCTGCACCTCCCTAGTTCTCTGCTCCTTTGGGTTGCTGACCCAGCACAAGGCCTCCCACCCACCCCTCAATCCTGGACAGAGCCCAGCACAATATTTGAGTGCGCAGGTGGTATAAGCAGGCATCTCTCTCTTTACTTTTAGCTATGAGTCCTGCCCTGGTTGGGCTCCTGTGCCAAGAGAAGCTCATGGCTGAGAACCCTCAGCCCAGCCTAACTGTTTTGGGTACCCAGTAACCTGTCAGGAGTTGGGTCCAAGCCTCTCCCACTAGCTTGTGATTTCATACCAGTGAGCTCAGATACCTGTGATGAGCATGCTGCCTGGCACACCACCCGTTCACAGATACCCATCTATCTTCAAGCACAGGCTCAGGGGTGATCTGATGGTCACCTATAAGTTTATCAGGGGTGACCATCAGTATCTGGGGGAACATTTGTTCACCAGAGCGCCCCTAGGGATGATGAGGTTGAATGGTTATAAACTACTGCAAGACCATTTCAGGTTGGACATAAGGAAGAATTTCTTTACTGTCCAAGCCCCCAAGGTCTGGAACAGCCTGCCACCGGAGGTGATACAAGCACCTACACTGAACACCTTTAAGAATAAATTGGATGCTTATCTTGCTGGGATCCTATGACCCCAACTGACTTCCTGCCCTTTGGGCGGGGGGCTGGACTCGATGATCTTCCGAGGTCCCTTCCAGCCCTAATGTCTATGAAATCTATGAAAATCACATACCGAGTCAACGTTCCACCTGTGGATGGAGGATCCCACTGGGCAGTGGGGCTCCCAGGGCTAAAGGGCCACAGCACCCATCTCCCCTAGGGGATCCAGCCCTGTGAGATGTTGTGTGAGCTCCATGAAGACTGCTCTAGTCCTGTCCTTCTGCATGAGATCTATCTCCCCCATGTGAATTACCAAGAGAATTACCCCAGCATCGCCTCCATCTTGATCAGTAGCGTAACTGAATTGAGCAAGTGGGGCACTATGAAGGGATGTCATAATGTGCTCCCCCCTCCCCTAGAAGTTTTTGCCAGACCAGGGGAGCCCTGCACTGTGGCTATAGGAGCCTGGCAGGACAGCCCTGCACCCAGACAGTGTACCTGAGGGGTGAGTGGAATGGTGCTCGTCCCTATCCCTCCCACCCCCTGGGGAGTCTTTGCCACAGCAGGCACAGCCCTGTGCCCAACAGCTTATCTGATCAGGGGAGCAAAATGGGGCAGCAGGGGTGGCCCCCAGGGAGTTGGTAGCACAGGGCTTCTGCTGCCAGGTTAATACTGGTATAGCAGTGGCAGCGGTAGCAGATGCTTTCCTGGGCATGTAAGACTTCCCTTCTCCTCCACTCTCCCCTACTCCCTACCCCTCTGCCTAGTCTACAGTAGTAGGCTTACCCCTTCCTGTACTCCTCATTCAGCACTCTGGGTGCTGAATGAGTTCATGACACCTCTGATCCTGACAAAACAGAGTAGCATTTAGCTTGGACCTTCCTGGTTTTTCTATTAAGAGGCAAAAGAGACATTCTTTATTACCTGGGTCAGACTCTATTTATTTATTTATAGTGAAATGTGCACAGAGGCCCATTCCCCTGGTCCCACTCGTGTTCCCTGCTTACCCTGGCAGCTGGTTCTGCACCCCAGGAGCTTTACCTGCATTCAAAGATTCCCTTGCAGTGGCTTGCTGGCTTTCTCAGTCTCTCCCCTATACACATTTGCCAAACAAGTTCCTAGCCTCTGTGTTTCCAAACACGCCCAGGGAAATCTCTCAGACCACAGAGCATAACCCTGCTTAGACCATGCTAGGCATCCAGTTGGCTCAGGAAGTAATGTTTCCGGCAGAAGCAGTTTGATTGCCTGGTGGGATGGGATTGTTCCCTCCATTTTCCCTGAAGACAAAGTGGTTAACTTTAGCCAGCCCAATGTTATCCAAAGAACAGATCTGCTTGGGGGCATCACTAACACCTTCCAGCAGACCCACAGCTTTGCCCTGATCTCCCCTTTGGATTCTCAGCTAAAGTTAAAATTTCCCAAGACCGTGTGTAAGTGAGAGGTTCCTGTTGCTGTTATGCTTCCTGGGGGCAGAATATCCTGGCCAGCGTTCTCTGAAGCGCCAGTCTCACCTCCTTGTTTCTCAGGCTATATATCATGGGGTTAAGCAATGGGGTGAAGACCGTGTAGGACACAGTAATGAGCTTGTCCTCCTCAAGTGAGCGGGCAGATTTGGGTCTCAGGTAGATGATGCCAGCACAGCCATAGTGTACCATTACTACGGTGAGGTGTGCAGCACAGGTGGAGAAGGCCTTGTGCCGACCCTGAGCTGAGGAGATCTTGAGGATGGCAGTGAGAATAAAAATGTAGGAGATCAGGATCAGTAGCAGGTCCATGATGATGAAGATGACGCCAGCAAGATACACAATGCTTTCTGGGACCTTGCTGTCAGTGCAGGCTAGCTGGAGCACTGGGGAGGTGTCACAGAAGAAATGGTTGATCCTATTGGGACCACAGTATGACACATGGAATATGAGGGAAACCATTAAAATTGGAAACAGAAAGCCACCAAAGAAACAGGCAGCCACCAGCTGGACACAGACACGTGGGTTCATCAGCACTGGGTAGCGCAGTGGGTGACAGATGGCCACATAACGATCATACCCCATCACTGCCAGCAGGCAACAGTTGGTTGCTGCCAAGGACAAGAAGAAGTACATCTGCAGGGCACAGCCACCCAGGGATATGGCTCTGCCCGTGGCCAGTAAAGTGGCCAGCATGTTGGGAATGATAACAAAGGTATAGCAGGTCTCGGAGAGTGAGAGGATGAGCAGGAAGAAGTACATGGGGGTGTGCAGGGTGCTGTCCATTCGGATAGCCAACATGATGAGCATATTGGCAGTCAAAGTCATCATGTAGATGAGGAAAAAAATTGTGAACAGGATGTAACGTACCTGTGGAGGCAGAGAGAATCCAACCAAGATGAATTCAGTCACTGCGGTGTAATTGTTACTCTTCTGGCTGGCCTGAGGCTGGCCCTGTGGAAAGAGAAACATGAGTTTTAATCAGTAGCAGTAAATGCCAACATAGACCTTTTCTGCCTCTGCTGCCCAGTTATTGTGGAGGAGAGGGAGCTGACAACCTTCTCCCCTTGCTTCTTTTCCAGAATTCCCATTCTGCAGCATGCTGGAATCATAGAAAGGTTGGGCTGGAAGGACACTCAGGAGGTCACATGTTGTCAATCCCCTGCTCAAGACAGGAACTTCCCTGTCTATGCCATCTTAGATATGTGTTTGTCTACCCTATTCATAAAACTTCAGGAACAACCCTCTCATACACCTACCAGGCAGAATGCCCAAGAACACCATGAACAGCCTAACTCACCCCAGGTCAAGCACAGGGGTGAAGCTATTGTCCTTGTCCTGACACTGCAGGGGAGCCCCTGGAGCCAAGAAAGGATGCATATCCCAGGGTTCACAGCCACCAGCTGTTCTGTTCTCATTCATGACCTGTCCCAATGGGCACAAGTGGAAGTCAGGGTTCACAGCCTGTCAGCTGACATGTTTCAAACCCTGTGGGTTTTTTGGTGTATCCAAGGCTTTAGAGGGCAGTAGGAAATTCCTTATCCTGGTGTGAGTTTTCCCTGGAGTTTATAGGACAAATCTCACCCTCAGTGAGTTTTCTGAGTGAGGCTGAGGGCTTCATTTGCTTGTTACACCCTAAGGCTGAGTATTTCCCAAGAGCTGCTGAGAATACAACCATTGCTGCAACTGCAGGGATGTCTTGAAAGACATTGACTTCTGGGGTGCTGGAGGGACTGTTCAACTTGGTGAGACTGCTGCCCTGTGTGAAAGCTAAAGGCTCTGCCTTAGAAAGAACAGTCTGTGCGACACATTCATGCAATTGTCTGACAAGCCTTTAGGTAACAAATGTATCCTTCCCATGGATTCCTAGGCACAGGCACAGGATGACAATACAGGTGTCACAAGAAGTCTACACTACCCTATTCCAGTCAACCCTCAGCGATTCCATATGCAAACGGGTTCAAGAAAAAAGATGGTGGTGACTTGCTTTCCCAAACTGTCTCTTTTTCATCCCCCTAATATTTGTGTAACCCTTGCCGGCACACTAGGCCAGGCAATATGCCAGGTTCTGGAACCTCAGGATGCCAGTAGCCCTGGGAAGCCCCTCAGGCAGGTCTGCTGACTGAGGTGTCCCTTGGAGAGGTGTGTTCCTCAGCCTCACTGCCCAAGAATTTACTTTAGGTCTAATAAACAAATGGTCTTCTTTATTATACACAACTATATACAGAAAAAGAAATGATTAATCAAGAGAAGAAACGTGTGTGTGTGTGTGTAATACTCTGTCCAGGACTGCCTGGTGAGGGCCATCCTGGCCGCAGCGGGGGAGATCTTCGTGAACTGCACCATCCCATGCTACGAGAGCCAGATGTGACCTGACATCATCATTGTGAACAAAGAGGCCAAGAAGGTCACGATTGTGGACATAACCATCCCCTTCGAGAACCAGCGCCAAGCCTTCACCGATGCCCAGGCTTGCAAGTGGGAGAAGTACGTCCTGCTGGCTGACATCTTGAGGGGCTGTGGCTATGACGTGATGGTCGACGCGCTCATTGTGGGAAAGCTCGGAGCCTGGGACCCCAGCAACAAGTGTCCTGCATGCCTGCCGCGTCTCCCACCACTACACCAAGCTGATGCACAGCCTCATGGTGTTCGACACCATCTGTTGGTCCCGTGACATCTACATGGAGCACATCATGGGCCACCGCCAGTACACCGACCCCACCAGATAAACCGCCGCCGGACCGGACCCAGAGGGGACCGCCTGAACCCCACTCTGCACCAAATGGACCTTCACTTCGAGAGGATTCTTCAGCAATGGACGACCTCGCTCCACCTGAAGAGGACCCCTGTGATGAGACTCTATATGGACTGAGACACTTTCCTCGAACCACTTCCTCCACCATTGTGGACCATTGTAACGGGTTTTTGTATTTTTATCTTCTTTCTCTCTCAGTATCACAAACCCCCTTCCTCCCCTTCCCCCACACCTGGGCTTATTTGGCTAACATTGTATTTTCTGTAACCTAGTTGCATTCCCCTCCTCACCCCCGTCCCTCTAATGTTAGTCCCTTGCTCAAGTGATATGTATTTCCCTACTGGCTTTGTCATCTTCTTTGGATTCACAATCCTAAACATTTACTAATAAAAGTCAATCAATAGTTAATAATAAAACCAACAATTTGAACAGAATTTACAACTGCAACAATAGATGAGTGATTCCACCACACTGGGTGGTCCCACTTGCATCAAACAACCTCAATGATTACATTCACCTGGCTATAACACTTTAAAACAGTTTCCTCCCACCATAACCCAGGTTGATTTCCCTCTGGTAACACTCTCCTTCCCATAACAATAAATGGTAATACAGCTTTAACTATGATCCACTGCTACATGGCAGAGGCGAGGCTTCTGCTGCTCAACGGAAGGTGGACTCTTTGCTCACTCTTGGTAACTCAGCAAAACACAAATCTCGGACCAGCCACTGCAGGTAATAGGCTTCTTTTCTTTTGTTTCCTTCTGAAAAATACACCTTCTGTAAACACTAGGGGTTAAGTGTCCCCTCACACGCCCATGCAGATTTGGGGTTCTCACAGCCCGCTCCCTCTCTGACCTGTCTCTCCCCCAGCATCTCCACATGCAGACAGGGGATTCCCTCTACAGGCCTCTGTCCCTGCATTACAAACCTTTCCAGCCCAAACAGAGGGCTTCCCTCTGCAGGTCACTAACCAGGCAGCTGCTCCCAGCTAACTTACCAACTCCTCCCCACTCTT